CAACTTTCATCTCTTCTTTCCTGCTTTTGTGCTGCCTACCTGTGTCTTCAGTAACTTATTTCATTGACAGGACTCGTGATAAGTGCAGTTTTCTTCTGTGCACATTTTACTGTGTGCCTTAGCAAAAAGTCACTTTGTAGCTATAGAAAGCAGTTATACTTGCACCAGGCACAGGATGTCAGACTTCTGTCTGTTTTAATATTACACTGTCTCTGAGTCTGCTAGATATGAAGCACATATATCTATTCTAACACTTAAATGCATGTTGGTTTTTGTTGTTTTTTGGGTTTTTTTCACAAAGGTAATGACTAGTAGATGATAACTGACCAAAATGCTAATGTATTATAATAAGAAAATCAGTCAACTTCTTGATGCTACTTCCCTTCTTTGCACGTTAGCCTTATGCTCAGGTGAAGGATTCTGAAGGGAAATGCCTTCTTGTGGGTAGTGAGAAAATTATTAATTCTCTTGACCCTTAACTCCCATTCTTGCATTTCCTGATCTGTAGATGTGGATTGGCATAAAGAGGTAAGCTGAAGTGATGCATTGAGCAACACATCATATGCTCCCCCATTTAAGGTAAAATACTTGGTTAAACAGTGCTGCAAAGACAGGAGTACATCCCTTAGAACAAATGAGGCTACAGTGTAAAAAAAAAAAAAAAAAAAAAAAAAAAAAAAGCTCTCTACAGGTGGAGTTAAAAGCAATTGCTGAAAAACAGGTCAGCTAGGGTCATAAAAATGCTCAGCTTGAGCCACTGTGTGTGTCTATTAGATTTATAATGTGAAACTTTAAAGGCAAAAACCTAAATGCTATTTCTGTGTATGAAACTTGGGGAATAGCATCAATGGTAGCAGACGGCTTCATTTCTTGGTCATGCATCAGAGATCAGATCAGCATGGTGGTAGTGACAGATTGCACACATTGATAATAATTGTGGCTGCCCCCCAGCAGAATAGTTAAGGGAGATCAGAGGGCCTACTTTAGACTCTTAACAGGAGCTGAGGCAGCACACCACCAGTTGGTGTGTCTGAGCAGAGGGCATTGCAACTGGTGGGAGTGAGGACTTTGGAAATACAATCTGGGGGCTTCACATATGTCTGCATCCTAGGATGTAGTTTCCTGAACAGCACTGCCACACCATGCATGGCCAGCACCGCTACGTCCGTGGTTTGGTGGTGAACCAGGTCTAGACATGGATAGAACCAAAGAGCCTTTTTTTGGCCGGTTGAATTCCTCAGTCGTGTCCATCAGCTGGTACAGAGCAGAGCCAGGCGTGGGCTGCAATTGGAGCTGGTGGAGAGGGCTCAGCAGTTGCTTGAGAGATGTGGCTTTCCATCTTTCAGCCTGAGACACCTGGCTGCCAAACACAACAGAAGTGAAGATTTGCAGGAGCTTAGATATACCTGTATCTCATGTGGCTTGTAGTTCTTGCTTTCCTTAGTCCTGATCCAAGTAGGAGGCCTTTCTTTCATCAGATGAGCACCTACAATGTGCCTGTATTTATTACGTCTACAAACACAGCAGCTGCCATAGCTTTAAAAAAAAAAAATAGCCAAGCTCTGGAAGAAGATATGATGACAATGGTTCATGTTTGATGCAATGATTTGAAACCCAGGGAGTGGGAATAGATCCTTTCTCAACTTAAGGAGCTTGGCTTGCATTTTTTGCCATTAGGTGTGGTCTGTGGCAAGCGGACTATTTGGCACAGCCTCAGCTTGTCCTTACACAGTCAAGAGCAAAAGGAAGTTCCTGACTTCCAGGTGGTAGTTGCAGCTCTTGGTTGAGACCCTTGCTCTTGGCCCCTTTTCCCCAGGACTATTTCTAATGTAAGCTTCAAAACCCATTCTGGGCTCTGTAGAGCCCCTTCAGAAGACTGGGTACTCCCTGGTGATGGCCTTGGCAGTGAAGTTTATAACTAGAAGATTAAGGTCCACCACACTAAAAAATGGCTGCTCATTTTTAGGTGATCTCAGGCATGTATTGGAGGCAACTTAATAAGCTTCCTGGAATTTTTCCTTTTGGATTTAAGACACACAGTGAATTCAGGAAGCGGTTGCTATGCTTAAACCAAGCTACTCGTGCTTCGGTTGATTGGGGCCTTTCCTGGCTTCAGCAATTAGTTCTGTATTTGCTCTCTTAAAAAACAAAACAAAACAAAAAGCCAAGTTAGTTTCCACAGATTCTTGTGTTTTTAAAACAGACATTTCAAAATATATTAGAACTTTGCTGGGCAGCTGCTCTCTTCATTTAAGAGCAATGGCTTTAAAACGGGCTTTCCAGTTGGGTTGGTGTCCAGCTTGTAAACGTGTGGTGCTTTCTCATTTATACAGATCCAGTGTCCATCTTGCCAATTTGTCTGGTGTTTCAAGTGCCACTCTCCCTGGCATGAAGGCGTTAACTGCAAAGAATACAAGAAGGGAGACAAGCTGTTGCGTCACTGGGCCAACGAAATCGAACACGGGCAGAGGAATGCCCAGAAGTGTCCAAAATGCAAGGTGAGCTGCTGTCCCGTGGCTTGCAGGTGGAGGCTTCAAACTATTTAATTATGTATTTAAAGTAAATACTTGTAGCTTCTGCTCGGCATTGGAAACAGAATTCACACTTGCTCTGCAGATTCGTGTCAATGACCCACTGAGAAAAACAGATCAGGTGTTGGACTTGCTGGTTCCTGCACTGATTCTGCAAAATCTCTGCATGTAAAAGAAAGATGATGGAAATCATAAAAGGGGGCTTTCATGTATGCTTATAATGAATGTGTGTTACAGAATAAATTAATCCTAAAATAAAGCTTTAAAGAGTTGTAAAGCTTTAGAGAAATATGGTGGCCGTTGTCAGGTTTTCCAAAGAGCTTGATTAATTCAGTTTCTGAGTAAGGCAGAGAGTACTCTATCAACAAGTTAACTAAGGGAGACTTAAAGATTTGGCAACACCAGAAGCTTTTTAGGATTAAATAGCAATTCTTCATAAGCCTTTCTCATTAATTAGTTTAATTTTCAACACTGAAGTGCAGTCCCATGACCTAAAAATGTCATTAATCTCTTACAGGGTAGGAAATATTTCACACTACTCAAATGAGTTACAGCAGCCCCACACCCCCCTGCCCTGGCTGCCCTGAATGAAGTTGGACTTTATATTTGTTCACTGGTTTTTTTCATAGCACTTATCTCCAGCTTCTGACAGAGTAGGAAGTCAAAACCTTGAGAGGACCGTGGTGATGGGAGACTGTCCTCTTTTTTTTTTTTTTAAGGGAGTAACTAGTCTGAACCTAGCTATTGCTCTGCATCTACTTCATGGAGAAGACAAAGTAAGGAAACTGGAACATTTGGTAGGAAATAAATACTGAATGGGAAGATTTGTTTCTAAATGTTCAAAGTATATTTTCGTTACACTTTTAAGCCTTACCCTGTGCAAATAAGAGAATGTTTATCAGTTTACTGTCTTATTTTGGTCTTCAGGAAAGAAATTTTTGTGGTGCTATAGCTTGAAATTGAAAGATTTCAAAACGCTAAGAAAACTTCAGAAAGCTCTGAAATCAGCCGTTGGCTGTTTACCCTTTCTCCCGTGCACATATGACATTTGAACAGAGTTTTAACAGCTTGCTGTCTGGTAAGAGTTGATAGGTTTGAGCCAGTTCTAAAAATGTTCACTTTCTGGGAAGTCTTACAGTAAAATCCTTTTACAAACTTTGTTCTTTTTGGAGTGGGAAGAAGTATCTGTTTTGTTTTTAATGCTTTGACTTGTGTCCAGATTCAGATTTTATGACAATGTGAATGATGTAACTGTTGAAATAAGTTGTCCAAAAAAAGAAGAAGAAAACACACCAAGCAGAAAAGTATGAATGTGGGGAAAGAGGGCTGGTAACTGAAAGAGAAAGGAACTAAAACTGCTACCCCTAATGTCTTCATCCTTAATAATTTTTAAATTTAAAGTGCCAAATGTACAACTCCTTTCACTGTCTTCAAAAGAAAAGTCTGGACACGTGAAACTTATGCAGGTTCACAGAATCACAGAATGTTGGGGAT